ATAGGCAGGGTGAACAAGAGCAGTCATTTATAAGATATCAGAATATAAGATATATACTTCCAAGCTTCTATTAGTTGGACCTAGTCATATGCTCCAAATACTTTTTGTTCAAAATCAGACCTATCTCCACACTTCCAAATACCGGGTGCGCGTCGTGTAGTGGTCAGCATGATATAGATCCCGTACCTGTCTTCTAATCTAGGCGAAATCCAGAGATATACAGTTATATAACAAGAGTTTGAAGTACCAGCAGCCTCCTACAACATGAAGTTGAGTGATTAATACTCATTGGCCCGCGGAGAGTGGGGGTTGGATTGGGAGGGGAAAAATACAAATCTTCATCATAATATTAGAATAATAATATAAAGCTGACTAATCGTAGTCTTTAGAAGGCGCTGAGGTTCATGAGTCAGTCCAATGAGTATTTTAATAGGAGCGGAAGTCCTCCCCGCCAATAACAATGCTAAAAAAAGCCCTGATTTAATCTAAGAGAATAAATATAATCAAGATCAGTAATACAAACCCCGCAGCCCGACCGAGCACCAAACTAGCTATCACAAGACCTGAAAAAATCGCTGTATCTGCAAGGTTGACAAATTTATTTTGTTAGCTGGCCACGGCATACCCGGGCCATCACAGTATCCCTGATTGGTATGAAGCTCACTGAGCTGATCATTTCTGTAGTAAGTAAAATTTTCATACAATTATTAGACATATACAACGCAGTAATATCAAGTTTTGTAATCTTTTCTCATTGCTCTGTCTGTGTCACTGATATTCCTACTTCAGAAACAAAAAAAAAAAAAAAAAAAAAAAAAAAAAACAAGATAAATGCATATTAACTTATTATTTGATTAAAAAGATGGTCTGATAATGTTATCATGCCAATTATTGAAACAAGGGGAGAGGTAGTGTATGACCGAAATTAAGAAAATACAGTATCTCGCATAGATCGACATCTACTTGTGATTTTAAGGCCTGGAACAAGAACTACAATACAACATCAGATCAGGTACCTTTCAGCTAGGCTAGAGGCTAATTCAATCCCTAGCTCTAGAATCAGCCAGGCTCATGCTCATTTTCTTCACCCTGACTGTATACTATCAGTCAAAACAAATTATATTCAGTACTACTTACTTAACGTAAGGAAGACATAAGACAACCATAATATATATGTATTAATACAAAGATAGATGAACCTTGAATGTAGGCGGCAATAACCATATCTTAATCAGTCATTATTGCTGTATCTGTTAATTGGCCTGACATGCCTGTTCAGAGGGGGAAAAAAAGTATCATATATATCTTCAACAGTTACTCGAGTTGCATCTTGTCTATATTTCATTTCCGAACCGGGAACAGAGATCTCCCTTCTGGTAACACCATTGATTATTATTTGACACCTCCAAGCATTTTTCATTACAAAGCTGTAGGATGCCTCTAGGGGTCTTCCTCGGTTAGGGCCGTCTTTTGACCGAAGGGAAGGTCTCGGGACATATCCCGGTTTGTAATGTCTCGGCCGAACGATACGGGGTATTGTGTCGACGTTCGGTCCAGGTGTACTACTCTAGCTAACTTTCCACTTGCAGTGGGCTACCACTAGTTGATTGGTGGAGCAGAAGGACTCTTATGGACTGGAAGCAGATCGGCTTCGGATGCACTTATCTGCGGTGGGTGCACCAGCCAACGTCCGCAAAAACCATTATTCGCCGGCAGATCCTGTGAATGACAGTGGTCACATGACCGGAGGCCACCTCATCCTTCTCCCTCTGGCTGCACGTTTCTTCCTGTTGGCACGTATCTCGAGCCATCCAGTTGCCCCCATAGCTGAGAGTTATCACTATCACCATCGTCATCATCTAGTCGCTGACGTCTTGAACAGTCTGTCCTGAATTGTTCATATGGTGAATATGGGCGAGATCAGAAAGTTTAACACTTGCACCGCATGATCGATTTTAAAATCTCACGGAGAACGAGGCTTCTTCGCTTCCGAAGGGATGCATTGCCTGACGACTGCAATAATTGTTAATACCTGCATAATCATAAGACGACTCCCGCTGTATTTGCGGGTTGCAATTGGAATAATGGTTCTGCGTCAGTGGCATAATTTCCATCTCTAATATCGAAAGTGAAGTCGTCATTGAGAAGTCTTGCGGTTATTTGTCGGTAAGATCATATGACAGAGGTGGAAGGACCGGTGTGCACCCGGACAGCGGTCGACGAGGAAGCCACTGCGCGACTGTATGGACCCTCTGCACCATCGTCATAAGCATGAGACATGCAGCTGCAATTATAGCCTTGTGTAGATCCTCATTGTGGAATAGTGCATTCTAGTGAGCAGATAATTTTGCTAACCGTAGTTCGGGCTCTTCCTCAAACGAATCGTGTGATCCATAATTTGTTTGAAGAGTAATCCCAATTATTCGCTGGGATTCCGATGCGCTATTAATCAGGTAATATCTTTGTTGTTCGAGAAATCGCGCTCTCGTCCCAATTTCTCCAGAGCTCTCTTACATTCTTTGCGGGGTTTGAAAGTCTCAGATCTCACCTGCTATCTTAAGTGACATGTGACAGCAAGGTACTTACAGAATTCTTTGAATTTATGCTCATTTCTATACATTCTCGCAAAGTGAGAGTCTGTGGTCGGTATAGCACAGAACAGTTCTTGAAGTAAATATATTGGATCATTCCCTTTAAGCGACCACAGGCGCATTTGCACATTCCCTGAGAAGGTGTGTAGATTTGAGGAGTTTGGGTCCTGATTAGAATGCTATCAGTTCATGAAGGTAGGCTATGAGTTATCGGCGCAAGTCCAGGCAGTCGAACCTCCAGTCCCCCTGTAACTGTTCATAATACTTATAGCAGATCCATACGTGCCAGCAGCCATCAAGAAGAAGCCAGCCAAGATGACAAAAATAGACCAACAGACCATCAAGTTCCACTTCATTGTTCGATGTCCCTTCCGCTTGCTCCAGTTATCGTACAGCCACATGCCACCCATGGGCTGGAAGCACATTGGTGTTCCAAGGAACGCCCCGACCAGCGAGACAAGATCGCCAAAGACAGGAATGGCACTGGCGATGATGTAGGCAATTATGGTGACTCCAAAGGTGCAACCGAGCCAGATAATCCAGTGCTTGGCGGTGTTGGAAGTCAAGTGGCGGGAGCCTTTGAGTATGCGGACGAAGATATACTTTCCGGTGATCTGAACAGGCATTAGTGCTTGCTACCATTACATGTCATAGGTTCACGTGGGGAACGTGTGAAGTAAGAACCTACATGAACGAATATCATTAAGCTCACAAGCAAACCGGGCAGCGCAAAGCCATAGCTCACCTTTTTCACGATCGGGCCAGCTGAGCCAAGAGCAGGAGAAGAGACATGTGAGCCGCAGTAGTAGTATATGACGATGCCAATGGCAAGATAGAAGGAGGTAACTACCGACTGGCAGAGTATCAAGGCCCGGTTATAGTGAGTCGGATCGTGCATCTCAGATGCGATAGAGAAGAACGCCGGCGTACCAGCATACGCGAAGATGATCGTCGAGATGGCGGAAACACTGTCCGTGAATGACGATTTACCAACAACCCTATAGTCCGAGACCCAGACAGCGCCTTTAGGAGCGACAGAAGGGCGACCTTGGATTCCAACAGCAGTAGTAACGATCAATACTGGACGGAGGTCAGACTACGTAGATCAGGTACTGGGGCAGTCTTAATAGAGCACTCACTGGAAGCCAAAATACAAAAGAGACCAATCCATGCCAGCCAAGAAATGCGACCCAGAGTCTGAATGCTCGCGAATGAAAAGGCCACAATGGCAGCAACAGAAACGTAGACTGCGGTACACGTTGCATGAGAAGAGACGGCGTTAAGGCCGATGGAAATTCCCAGCATGCCAGAGCCAGCTACGAAGATCCACCCTAGGATAAATGTGTTGGAAGAAGCACCTACATATGAGCTGGACAAGCTATACTCACAAAGACAGAATGCAGTGCCGAATAGAATGCGTCCCGGTCGGCCCATGAGCAACTGGCCCACATCGTCAATGCCGTAGACTTCGCGATGCTGCAACTTGAAAACACCGATAATGTAGTCAGACCATGTCGTGATACCCGCAATGACAATCAAACTGATCACACCAGGTATGATGCCAAGGGCATCAAAAGCGACAGGGATTGACAATACACCTAATCCGATCTAAGTCTTCATCATCAAAACAGCCGTTCCCTTCCATCCTATCTACAGACCCGTTTAATGCGTTAGCAATTGATTCCGGGGCGAGCACCGTTCAGAGGGAGGACGTGCGACGTACAGCGCGGTAGTTAGGGCCACTACCGGTGATTTCACCAAAGACAGCATCACTGGCCCCTTCGACGACATTAATATGCAAAGGTACGGGCGCCAAAATTTCATTTTCTAGATCTTTGGACATGATTCATGAAACAGAGAGAAGGAAAGGAGAAAAACAGATGTATCGAATCCAGTCTAGAAATCGCCAGTCAACTGAAGTTCGCAGTGATGGCAGGGCGTCCAGGTTGCTTTTAAACCGTTCCTTCCCCCCTCATGGCTAGACAAGGTTTCCAGGCCCTTTCTTCGATGCTACCGTAGCCCCAAGCTTCCCACAGATTGATTTATATTTTTCAAGGGGGAGGCAAACGTGCATCAAAGGGCAAATGGAACGGCTTATCTACGATTGGCGAAACGCCCCCCCCTTTCACGCCCCCATTTCCCGCCGGCCGCCTATTTAATCTGGAAGAAGAGAGAAGGATCAGCTTTTTCTCTAATGCTTGGCTCCTTGCTTATCAGAACTGCTCCAATTGGTAGCAATCTCTATCCTGCCTATCACGTCTTCTAGTCCCCTACCCAAACCTTTGTTTTTCGTTTCTGTTTTGATTTCTATTTCGACTTCTTGCAACATGTTCGGACAGCACCTCCTCATCTTACTATGGGCTCTTTCATTACACTACGTGTATCTTTCACCGGTTCATCCCCAGATTAACATCTCGTTCCCACTGGCCCCGCGCAACCAAAAATATATGAACTAGTAAACCCACTTTTTTGACTACAGTGTTGATAGCCAAGAAGTTCTTAAGTCCCTCATGGCTGACCTAACAATGCCGTACTCCTAGCAAGTACGAAGGAAGAATACCTGTGGAGGGATTAGGTTGCACCTACTCACATCGTCCTACAGCATGCCACATCAACGTCCCTAGGCGGAAGCCCTACGTCAAACTGGAAGGTGATGCTGATCTACTTCGGACCATGAGGCAGCCCACCCATGATAACTCGTGACTTAGGCACAGTTTAGTCTCACTGGTTTGTCGGGCACCTCGTGGTACTTTCTTGGTAATTAGAACAGGCTGACAGCCTGTCAGGAAAACATCGCGGATGCTTATCCGTTCCACATATAACGCGGTTGTACCCCCTTCGCCACGAAGAGCTGCCACCATTTAGGCCGGGTATTCCGGAGTTATTTCTTCCTACTAGTCATGCTGACCGATCGGCTACAAAACCTGAATAGCGTACTCTCACCTTACTACCAATCGATGTGTCCCCGTTGCTTCATTCTCCTCCAACCTTGCCGGGCTCCGTGTACAACCGGCCGTGGATATAAAAGTTGATCTGGCTTCGCAGAAACTAGCTGTCTTGAAGACATATTCCTCATGTTCTTTACGCAGCCGGTACCAGGCATATTGAGGCTGTACTGGACGCAGAGGGACAGAGTCGCTCGCAATCCTCACCAACTAGCATGGGGTGGACGTCAGACCATGTCGTCCATCTATAGGCTATAGCCGCAATATATGCCCCCCTTTATCAAGATCATGAAGCAGAGCCTCTGACTTATCTTTGGCAGCACTGAAATCATCCTTTGAAAGCGGTCAACGAAGTTTTTTATACCTTGCTAGGCAAACCACAACCGTACTCCCGCTTCGGCATCGATTTGCGAAGAAGACTTATCCTCGTAGTATTTACCCTGACAAGGATATGCGTGGCCGATGAATGACAGTCTGTCAGCATAATGACACTTCCTTTGAACGCCCGGAACTTCCGGAGGCAATCATAAGCAGCTGATTATCTGTACAAATTGCAGCCATTAATCGGTCTTGAGTTCTGCAGATCGGAATATTGAGCGGGTGGCATTTAAAGCGATCCGAGGAAATAAGCCTATGGAAATCACCAAAGAGATCGTACGATTTTGGCTAACTGGCTTATCGAGCCGACTTCAGGAGACGCAAACGGATAGTAGTAGACAAGTAGTAATAGATGGCCTGAGCGGCAACATTCAGAATATAATTGGAATTTGGCAACAATGATTCTCTGAGGTAGTATGTCGGTGCTAAAAATGTCAGAGAAGTTAAGGAATTAAGGACTCTAGCGCAATAGTGAAGCCATGCCATGACGTTGAGTCTGATACTGCGTGTAATACACAGTCATCAAGGGGGAGAAAAGAGAAAAGAAAAGAAGAAAAGAACCTGTGTTATGCTCTTCCGCCCCCAGGAGTGTCCGTATCAGACCGATATCCGGTTTTTGGATGCGGCAAAATCGGCGTGACCTCTGTTGCACACGTAAATAACCTAAATGACAAGATTGCAATGCATTGGCGGAAGGTCGTTCCGACTTGAGGAGCCGCGCAGTGTGGTTTTGATCGTAGGTTCAAACGAAGTGTGGAGCCGCGCACGGTATGTCAGTAACTCTCGCACTGGTCAACATTATTACCTCATAGGGCAACACGTATATGAGAGATATTCATTCCCTGCTTCTTTCCGTCATTTGGTGCTGGCTGGCCCTAGGAGACGGGAAGAGCGCAAGACGGGAAGAGCGCATAATCCACCACTAACACCGTCGAATAAACAACATAAAGAGTACTCTGGCCCAACTGACAATTCACTTTTCGGGAAACTACCTTACAGTCTATTGCATGGTGTACGAGTACGGACAAGAAAACATAGTCCGTAAATAATACTTCGAACGCAATAGTGTCTTACTAGACTGGGTAAAGGGCAATGTCCTTGCCAAACGGGTTACCACCCACTAGGAGTGTCGGATTGCAATCGTCCCTTACCGATGGGATGAAGGTTCCTATTCCCCGAATCGCGCGACCCCACCGTTCTGCCTACAGTAGCCGCGTTAGCAAGGCATGTGTGACATGCAGAGAGAAGAAAATCAAATGTAACGGCAGTCATCCGTGTTGTGGGTGCATCAGCAACGCTACTACGTGTCTTTATACGGCTGGGAAGCGGGAGAACACATCGAGGTATGAGTGGTCGAATCGATGCCAACTGAGAGAATTGATACCTATTGACCAAGTGTAGACGCTTGGCAGAGCTCGAGTCTCAGATAAGACTGTACAAACAGCTTTTGTGGCATTTGCAATCCAAAGTTAATGCCTGCGACCGAGAACTCATTAGTAGGACCCTTGACCAGGTAACAACCTCATGTAGTAATATGATTTACACCTGGTTGACCCTCTGAAGCAGGACGGTTCACTGCCCTGATTACCGCCATGTCAAATCTGTTGAGCAGCGATGCAACAGGAGGATTACAGAGCAAGCTCATATGATCCACAGGCTAGACGAGCTCTGTCAAGCTGGGGATATCTGGATATCAGATATGGACCTTCTCTAATAAGAACTTTGAGCATCCTTTATGGAAAGCCCTCTCGCTCACTCAACGTACCACAACAAGACTTGAAATTCGAATAAGAGTGAATCATCATGGGCTTCACCACTTAATATAAGCACCGCCGCGGGAGGCCAGCCTAATCAGTCGAGCCTCCATATGTAGGAGTATTGTTACCTCCTTCGTATATCAAAATTGTCTTTGTGTATGTAAGCTGTTTTTCTGATGACACCTAGGTGTCTGGTCTGGTGTGCTAGGACTGTCTGTTCGACAGCGGAAGAGTTCTGCCTCATCAGAATTCGCGGCTAGGCGATTAACGATTGGTTGGTAGCGCCCGGGCCGTTGTACCTCCATCAGGCCGTGTTCATATCTAGCACGGACAGTATGACTGTCACCATAGAGGCTATTGAGCTACTTTTCATGTATCTATATTTCCCGTTACATGAGGTGAAATATCAGTGTGCGTAGGTATGCAGTGGTCGGAAGGGCGTGCGGAAGAAAATAGTGTGTGGTAAACCGTGTCCAAACCCCGTCATGTATCACAGTCATTCCAAATGACTGGAGTAACTTGTCGTCTTTGCCACGGATAAGATGGGCTTCCTTGAAATCCCGCGCCTTATCTGCAGAATATTCGTTATCAATTATCTCGCTCGATCCTGTCTCATTGTCACAGTACCTGCTCCTCTGATTAGCAGGCTTCTGGTGACGTTAGTGGCCCTCCTACTCTCGGAGAGCTCCGCGGAACAAAGCCATTCGACCTACTAGAATGGTGAACGGCTTCCCTATCGACGGAGGCATAGATCACTGTGAGCACTATGGGGTTGAGGGCTGGTTCCTCCAAGGAATGACAAGTGAAGCAAACGCATACTTTCCTTTATAAGTCCTCCTAGACGCTGAGCCGGCCGGATGCGGCTGTGGGATTTTCAGCCCTTCCTTATACCCGAGTTCTAAGTCATGAGTTTTTCGGGTCCCGTATACTTGCTAAAGCTGGACGCAGGGTTCAATTTCATGAGTATGTGTGGACCAAATAATGGAGCTAACGACGACAAACCGCCAGCGAGGCTGTCAAATATGGGCTCTTGTTGGTTAAGCTAGACCTGGACCAAGTCTCCCAGAGGCCCAGATATTGCGGTCTATCTAATTGCATTGCCAGGCATCGTTCTGAATTTTAAGTGCCTCATCCTACACATCTACACTCTGCGGTAAAGGCTTCGATAGCATGAGTCCAAGTAAAGAGATCTGAGGCGCGGCATGATCAGGGTATTAGCAAGGGAGACGTTCCATCGCACCTGATTTGGGCAGTAGTGTTGCAGCATTCACCTGTTTAGCGGCTCGAAGATAGACTGTTGCAGGAGCCCGGCAGGCCACTCTTCGGTACACACCTACCTGATAGCACAGCGTGCTTTCAGATGGACCGGACCAGACCGCCGGGCTCCGCTCCGTCGTGACTGGTGGTTTTTCGTTATGGCGTGGATCTCGTACCCGACCCTCAGCTGGCGGCGATGGCTGGCATGATCAAAGGAAGCATCTTGCTCTGAACTATGTTCCGGCAATAGTAACATTGCCATAACGAGTGGCAGATGGAAAGCTTGCCGAGTGCTTGAGATATTCTTTCTGCGCTCATCTCTAGGTAAGCCCCTGAATGGATCGGCTGTTAATCCACCAATCAGCACCTTCGCTTTCGCGCGGCAGGGGCTCTGGTCGAAAGGCACCCGAATAAATACTGAGATGCCCAATCACATTCCCGGACACGTCACCACAAGAACAAGCGGAGACACGTGCCGGAGGTAACACCTCTTATTAACAGTGAGTTCGAACAGTTCACTCTAGCTGCTCTCTTTATCACACCAGTCAAGGTAGTGTCCCGTTTTTACTATCAAAAATATGTCTTCCCCATTGTCACATAATATTCCATGATAATCGCACTACAACATGTATGCCCTCTTCTACACTTTTCCAAGACAAGGGACAATAGCAACATGGATAGTGAAGATAGTGTAAGATAATATACCAATATCGATTACTCCACCGATTCGTGGGCTTTGCTACCCACCGCGGATGTACTCGAACTTGAGAGCCTTTGACCGATCGGAATCCCGGACGAATAACGGTACCGACCGAGTGTGATCGTGCCCCACATACCCGCAGAGGGGAATATCTGGTAGTGCATCTCAGAATGCACAATGCAAACGCTAATACTACTATCTACCGAATAAGAATTGTCATTTGGCTCCGCGTCGTCTCTGCCTGGCGCGTCCGCCTCACTATAGATTAACTAGCCGGGGTCCGTAACAAATGCTGTCTGAAGATGATAAGGAATTGTGAATATACGTCTTCCTCTTTCTTTTCTAGTCTCCCTTCTTTCTTCCTTTTTCCGTTTATTTTCTTTCCTTTGCCTTTTTTTCTCTATTTTCTTTTTTTTTCTTTTTTTTTTCCTTTTTTTCTTTTTTTTCTTTTTTTTCTTTTTTTCTTTTTTTTCTTTTTTTCGTTTTTTTGTTTTTTTCTTTTTTTTCTTTTTTTTTCTTTTTTTTCTTTTTTTTCTTTTTTTTCTTTTTTTTCTTTTTTTTGTTTTTTTCTTTTTTTTCTTTTTTTTCTTTTTTTCTTTTTTTTCTTTTTTTTCTTTTTTTCTTTTTTTTTCTTTTTTTTCTTTTTTTTCTTTTTTTCTTTTTTTTCTTTTTTTCTTTTTTTTCTTTTTTTTCTATTTTCTTTCCTTTTTTCTGGTATCATTTATATAGATATAACTATATTCGTTTCCTCTTTCATTTTCTGCCCTTTTTCCGGGTTTGGGCAAGCCTGCAATATCATTTTTGTCCGAGCTAACTAGGCACGCAAAGACAAAGTACTTTGAGGCATTCGACATCCGCTCAATCTGGTCTCATCTCCCTGATATAGTAAGTCACAAGGAGTCCTGGATCCACTGAAACCGACCCGGCTCATCTGGTTTACTAATCGGACGTTAACAGGCAGGGAAGGACAAGTAGAGACTAGTGCAACCCCGTTTCAGCTCCGAGGGCTGAGGCTGAGCACGGATTTTCCATCTTGTGAACACTCCGGCCTGGAGTGATGCTGTATTAACACCTGAAAAACTTCATTGGTGCGAATGGTATGTGAGAGTTTTTTGGGCCGAGTACTCGCGACAAATTGGACTGCCAGCCACGATACCTTCCGTTGCTAGTAATAGTACTTGGTCACTGTTCTTTCCCACAAGCGATTGTTTCCGACCATATGTAACATGCCAATTTAGAAATATAGTATAGCAAAAGAATATAATGGAAGGCTGAACTTGAGCCCTCTACGTTTCCGCCGGCTTTCCCCTGACTTAGGAGGTTGGGGATATAGAGCATAAACATGAAGTTGCACGGCATTTTCATGCTTTACTTTGAATATATTCATATGTTATAATGATTACAGCACTCCTGAATTAACGTTTCTTGATGTTGATGCTATTTTGGATAAGTCACGCTGGTCTCCTTTAATAAAAATTTCACGTCATGAATGGACGTGCGAGGACCAAAACATGATATGGTACATACCTAGCTTCTCATGAACTGGCTACTAGCTACAGCGAAGCAGAAACACTAATAGTAATGCGTGTTACTCCAAGTATATATTCCCCCCACTTCGTGTTTGCGAGTCTGAACTCGGGCCTTTCAATTCTTGCATTCGACCAGTCACCAGTACCAGCGTCGGGAATAATATAGCCGACAGTGGTACGGGAGAAGCATAAGTATTTTACGACCAGTCATAATAACAAGAACTGATCAGCGTAGACTAGGGAGTGAAGAACCCAAATCTACCCAAATATAACTCACGATGTGAGTAAAATCAGATCCAGGCACTTATCTCTCGTCCGAAATCGCATTTCCGACATGCTAATGCATTGAATTTATCAGGATGTACGAAAGACTTCCTAAACCGAGCCACTAATGTATAGTAATGAGTCAGTCACACTTCCATTCATGCGTGTCGACTTACTATACTGGACCGTCAGGTGACCCATGCAGAGATTACTATGGTCTGTTCGAATTTGATTACATTCGCGATGCAGGTAAGCCTTTCCCGAAGAGTACATACCTGCAGAGCCATGCTCCATTCAATGGATCTGGAAGCTGTTTGCCACCCACTTCTGAAGTCGACATATAACCTTATGCATCCAGGGAATACCTCGATACGATGCATGTCAGCTGAATGGCCCCCTAAATGGCCCGATGACTGTTGAATTGATTGCTGTCCATGTTTTCGCCACTGTTGGGTCGGATGGGATGAGCGGACTACTACGTACCCACAGCCAAAATGGTGCCAGTGTCACTTGTGTATATATATATATATATATTCTGCGCCCGCAGGATGCACAAATTCCAAGACTCATCTTACCTACATGCCCAATGTTCCTGTTGGTCTAGCCTCAGCAGCAGAGCTTTAGCGGCAACCTGCCGTACATACGAGTTACCGTTAAGATGACCCACGCTGACCTACCCTCCCGGATTAGGGAGGCGATCAAGTTAGAGCTCAGGTTCCAATTCCCTGAAGTTGAAATACTAATCAGCGTTGCACAACAGAGAACCACATGGAAAGGTTAACCATCTCAACACCGCCCGCATCCCTCTCTGCCTTCCACCTGAGGCCAGAACCCCTCTGCTATATACACTGGGACTATTGCGCTACGCAGAGATCTACCTGGGCTTAGAGAAGGTGTGGCTCGCCGAGATTGGAGACCCTATCCACTGGATACAAGGTACCAGCGACAATATGGACCCCAACACAAGTGGCAGGGAGAGGATACAGACTGTATTGCGACTACTATACCTTCCTGAACTTCTACGTACAAAGCGCTTCGAGGCCGATTTTCTTGCCCTCCAGTCTCTGGATCCAAACATTTCCAGCCTAGGCGCAGGGAAAGTAACTGCTGGAAGCCAATTCCGACAGTATATTGAAGAAGACCTTCCAACAAAGCCGCATCTCCTTGTGGCATACATATGGATCATGTATCAAGCATTATTCAATGGAGGACGATTTATTCGAATGCAGCTACTGAAAGCTGGTCCTGAATTCTGGGGTCTGTCTGCGAGATCAATGAATACTGCCGCCCTTCCAGTGCCCCTTTCGTTTTGGCATGTGGACGAGGAGGAAGTTATTAAGGCGAGCTTCAGATCCCGTCTGAACATGGCGGATAAGCTCTTGACAGAGACGGAGCGTGAAGAGATAATACAGGAAGCAGTGGAGATTCTTCGCCGCTGTGAGCTTATTACACTGCAACTCGATGCGGATGTCCATGTAGAAATGCTAGCATAAATGTGGTTACGGTGCCCTGATGCCTCGTATATCTTGACTATATGATGAATCACAGATGAAAGTGTGCTCTAGTTAAATATCCACTTGTGTCACAGAAACAATTTATCAAGGCAACATGCTACTGGAACACGCTATAATAGTATCTGCACATTAAAAGCCCCCGCAGGCGCTCTAGTCTGCGAAATTCATTCCGGAAATGTCTTGCATAAGCCAGCCGCGATGCACGTAGAACAGAGCGAGTCTCTCCTGTCGGTCAGCATACTGCTGCAACTCCCATGTGAAGCTGCCCGACCATCCCTTCGGCACGACCAAGCGTATAATGCCTTCTGCGGGACAACAGGTCCAGGAATACCGCGCTCAAATTGTCACATTTGTGCGATAAGGCAGATATATTGACGAGTCCTGGATCTGGTATAGCTTAGAGCGTGGCCAATTCTCAGGACTGACGAGGAAAGCGACAATGTGAAATCCGGCGAGCAGTACGCCGCCTAAGCGTCACATTCTCGAAGGTCAAGATCTCCACTGGGAAACTGCCTGACATTGGTATGCCAGGTTCCGGTCGCACTTCCAGTAAAACTGCCCTTCGGTATCCGCCAAAGAAGACGTATAGTAATGCTGAAGAGCCTACATGTTCAGTTGCGTCTGCCTGTTTGCTACGAGCAATCTTACTCAATGTGTCAATGATCGACTGGCCTGACCGTTTGGCGTCTCCACTCTCTATCTGAGCAAGATACTTCTATCTGTTACGACCATGAATCTTGTGAATGGCAGTGGTCACGTGACCCTGAGGCATCGCGATTTCATTTGACTATCAATTCAATTCAATTCAATTCATATTCTTATACCCGATCGAGCCGGCGTAGTGAGATGCTAGCTATGCAGGTGCTTCACCGTTTGAAGCAAAGAATATGGCCCCGAACGCCCTCAATGCCCTCAAACTCGCAATAAACACCTAACTAATGTAAACAACGCTTGCCACGACGTAGGAAGGTCGTCGCCGTAGCTAAACACAACTAAACAGCAACAGCAAATGCAGATGTAAATGAGTGTTGCAGCCGTAGCTGCCTGCGAGCCCATCCTCCCCGTTCTTCGTCCATGTTCTTACTTCCAACGTGCATGTTCCTTTTGGTGCGTGTAACCTTCCCCGGGTGACTCAGTCCGAGGCGTGTATGGATCCTTCTACCCAGCGTCTTCAGCGTCTATCCCCATGGCCCTGAGGCCTACGTGTTCCTGGCTTAGTTCGGGATCCAGGTCGAGTTCGACCTGGCTGAACTGCCCGAGCAAGCCTGTTTGCAGCATGAATTCGGCGACGTAGCGGATCGCCTGCGGGTCTGATATGAGTAAGTCATAGTCAGTGCTAGCCCCCAGATCCGTGCGTGCGGCGATCTTATCAAACATCTGATTACGCAGCCCTACTGTGAACGGAGATCACGTGATCTCGGACCTAGTCACCTAGCCACCCAGTCACCTCCTCGCGTAGTTAGCTAGTTAGTCTGCACACACACACAATATCATCATATTGCTTCCACAGGTTATGAGCCCTCGTGGCGAAAAATCATCACAAAATACTTGTATCCCCTGTTATTTCATCATTTCTACGCGTCGTATACTATTATCTACATAGTTAAGGCTTCTTACGCCTCCAAATCGGCGCGCAACACGCCTCCGCGGCGATCTAGCCGGCTTGGCATCCAGGCTTGGCATCTACCGACCAACCAGACCTCCCACCACGCGAGCGGCGTGGCCGAACCATTACAATGACGCCGTCCAAAGACCCGTTCGATATCGACGTCACTAAAGCCGTTCCTAAGCTCAAAGGCCAGGCGAACTGGTTAACATGGCAAAGGAACCTACGAAACTACCTACGCTCCAAAAATCCGGACGCGTGGGACCTGCTCCAGGGCAAATATACTCTTCCAGAAGAACCAGCTCTTTATTCGGAAGAGGAAGATGAGAACATGAGAATACTGGCTGTCCGTGCTGGTGAGGGTGGCCCTTTACCTACTCAACAACAGCTGGAACGCAGCATTGAGCAGGCCAGACAGCGTAACCAAACCTTGCTTACTACATACAATTCTGATTGCAAGAAGTGGAAACAGCTGAACTACTCTATACTTGTGATTCTCGGTACTACATGCGAGGCCAGTCCCGCATCGCGTTTCCAAAACTGTGAATCTGCACTCGAGGCATATGTCCTTCTCCAGGAAGCATATGAGACCTCCAACTTTGCTACGGTCGTTCGCTTGTATAATAAATGGGCGTCTATTCGCTACAATGGTACAAGCAGTCAAGAGACCTTTCTTACACGCTACGCGGACGCCCTCAATGAGCTACGCGGCACCAAGATCATCGATGATCATACTGAACTCCTGCAGTTCTTCACAGCGATTCAGGACGTTCCTGCCTTGCAGCCGTTCATTACAAACCAGTACATGACACTGACAGAAGACGCGATCCCGTCGTCAGTATACGCCCAATTCACACAGTTTGAATATACACGCAAGAACCAGTTCTCTCAACTAACCACTCATTCGGTTGATAACAAGCCTCAGGGCGCCACCAACAACAACAACACCAACACAAATACTCGAGGAAATGATCGTGGCGGTCGTGGCCGCGGACGCGGTCGTGGTCGTGGACGCGGCGAACCCCCCGGTCGGGGTAGAGGTCAAACAAATACCTCTACTCAGTATGAGAGAGAACAACTTGATGCTGCTGATAAGAATACTATATGGTGCACTTTCCATGAGCGCTACGGAAATCACTTTCCAAGCAAGTGTTCTTTGAATCCAAACAAGAAAGCATCTACAAACACTCAAGCTAACGCGGTTACTGCACCAAATCCACCTACAGCGCCGTCCGAAACACCCTCTGCAAATGCAGTTAATATTGATTTCGACGCTCTTAATGCCTTCGCTATATCAGTTCGCTGTAATACCGCTACTGTAGCTCAAGAGGACCAAAACCCGAACCACTCACATGATTGGATGCTTGACTCTGGGACAGTTGAAACAATGACTTATTCTAAGCATCACTTCACGTCCTTCACCCCCTGCGTACGTACGGCCAAGACTGCTACTGACGAGGCCTTCCAAACCGTCGGCTACGGCACTGTTTCGATCGAACTGGCAGATAAGGAGAACAAACCTTGTGGGCTTCTAGAGATTGAACGAGCTTGGTACGCGCCGGCTCTGTCACATAATCTTATTTCGTGTAAACAGCTGGCGCGCCAGGGTGTTCACACACATATCGAGACTGAAGAGACCACTGTTCTTATTCAGAACGGCAAGCAGATTGGTTTTGCAACTGCTAAGGATGCCCAATACTTTTTACATACAACAGGTGCCACAAGCCGCAAGGCAATTCAGAGCCTCTATCTCTGCGGTGCCCTGACACGCTCACCACTCACTGACCTCACTGCCAACGCTGTCAAAAAGATGGTTCCTCCGCCGATCTCAATCCATCTCGCGCACCGACGTACGGCCCACGCCTCCGAGCGGAAGATCCGTGACTCCATTCAGCATGTTGTTGGATTCGACATCAAGAAAGGTACACTGCCAACACCCTGTGATCCCTGCCTCCGTGGAAAGGGTCACGCACTACCTGTTTCCCACAAAGAACCTCGTGATCTTGGTCTACGTGCTGGAGATCTTATCCATACAGACGTTTGCGGACCGCTTCCTACGCGCGGCCAGACTGGAGCATACTATTTTGTTACTTTCACGGATCATGCTTCCCGATACTGCTGGGTATTCTTGCTCAAGGAACGCAGCGAGGTACGAGACAAGTTCATTACTTTGCAGAACTATCTCAAGCGCCAGCTGAATATTGAGGTTAAACGCGTCCATGGCGATAATGCACCTGAACATCAACCACTCGCATCTTACTGTCAAGAACAGGGTATTGTCTGGGACCCCGCGCCTCGCTACCGCTCGAATCTTAATCCAATCGCTGAAATCAAAAACCGCCATCTGGTTGAACCCTGTATCTCAGTTATGGCTGACAATCAACTACCCCGCTTTCTGTGGGATCATATCATTCTCGCGGTTAACTACATACAGAACAGACTTATACACAGCGCCATTGGGAAGACACCCTACGAAGCTCTGTACGGCGTGCAACCCGATATCTCGCGGTGGAAGGCTCTTGGCTGCCGCTGCTGGCACCTGACTCCCAAAAAGACTCGTGATAAGCTGGAAGATCACATGCAGGAAGGTCGTTTTGTTGGCTACTCTGAGTCAGTCTACAAGATCTATGATATCCGAACTCGTCAGATTGTATACACTCGTGATGTTATCTTCAACGAAGAACCTGTCTCGCAAATGCCATCGGCAACATCTACATATGATCTTGATTCCACACGCCACGGCGAGACTGACGCAGAGGTTCCGGTCCAGGAAGACCCTCGTCGCTGGTCACCGTTTGATATACTCTCTCAACATGAGCAACCTGTTCCTACCCCTCTTCCTAGTTATCCCGCCGCAGACGAGCAGGATGAAAACAACAAGGAACCGGACTGGTTACTGGAATACAAACGAACTGGTGTACTCCCACCTTTGCCTCCAGTCAATGACACTGTCCGCAACACCACGCCTGAACCGGCAGTTACTGTTGAACATAATGAGTCTGACAAACAGCCAGTTGTTACCGATTTTCCCACTACCAGCACCCCCGTACAGAACCCACACCGCTGCCCGAACAACCACTACGTCGTTCTACACGCACCCGCAAGCCCTCACGCGCGCTTCTCGAGTCCCTGGAGTCACACACTATCAGTGCAAATGACGACCCAGACCTGAATACTGACGCCTTTTATAAACTACTTATTGATAATCATCTTGCTCATGCTCTGTCCCTGGAGACCGCAGCCACACAGTCTTCTCCCAGCCCGCAGACGGGGGGACCAACTTCACCAAAGAACCAACACCTCAAGATACCGGCTATACTCCTACTCGTACGCCGACGCTATGGCATGCGCCGAGGCATCTAAATGGCGTGAA